GCCGGAGAAAGAGGATCACCTTGTTTGAGACCTCTAGTTGAGTGGAAAAAACCATGTCTATGGCCATTAATAATGATTGAGTACCAATTGTTACTCATGGTTCTCCACACTAGATCAATGAAAAACTCCCCAAAACCCAATCTCCTTAATACCAAGCAAGTAAAGGACCAAGATACTCTATCATATGCTTTGGTCATGTCTAGTTTGATTACCACATTGTCTCCTTCTTTAGGCCTCTTGATGTCATGAGTGATCTCTTGTGCAAGCATAATACTTTCTGTGATGCTTCTCCCTCTCACAAATCCGGATTGATTGTCTGATATGAGCAGGGGAATGATATCAGCTAGCCTCATGCTTAGAAGTTTGGAAATGATTTTATTTGAGAAGTTACTGAGACTAATAGGCCTGAGGTCAGAAAAGTTGTTAGGCTGTTCCTTTTTGGGTAGCAAGACCAAGCATGCATGAGACATAAACTTGGGCATAATGTGACCACAAAAGAAGTGTTGTACAGCAGCTAACAGATCCTCTTTAATGATGTTCCAGCATGCTTGATAAAATTTGCCACCAATACCATCAGGACCAGCTGCTGAGTTTGGATTCATGGAAAAAACCACCTGCTTTAGTTCCTCCAAAGTAGGCATTTCCTGCAGTTTCTGGTTCTGTTCAGGCGTGACTAGAGTAGGCAAATATTGAAGGATTCTTTCATCTATTCTGCGATTGTGACCAGTAAACATTTTCTGAAAGTAATCACAGGCTGCTTGTGCTATCTGTTCATCCCCTTGAACCCACACATCATTCCCTGTACAGATTTTATGTATAAATAGTCTTCTTCTTCGCCCCCTCATCAAAGCATGAAAATATTTGGTGTTGGCATCTCCTTCCTTAAACCATTGGAGTTTGTGTCTTTTGTTTAAGAATGGATTCCTCCAACTTCAAATATCTAATATAATTGGCATTCATGAGATGTAATTGTTGTCTCAGTGCTTCAGAGTTATGTGTAAGCAGTTCCTCCTCAGCCTTCTTGATGGTTTCTTCAAAATCTTTCACTTTGGCATAAATATCTCCATATTCCTTCTTTGACCAGCTGCTAAGAGTGTGTGTCAGCCTCTTCATTTTCTGGTGAAGTTGCCACATAGGATCACCTGTGACATCCCTATCCCAACAATTTCGAACCGTCTCCATAAAATTATCATTATCCACCCAGCAATGAAGGAATTTGAAATATTTGATGTGATTCTCATTTTTCCTAACCAATTCCATCAAAAGAGGACTGTGATCAGATCCAACTGAGGATAGATGTTCAATAGTAGTTTGTGGCATGATTTCTAGCCATTTGTCATTGACCATGGACCTGTCCAACCTCTTCCAAACTCTAGCCTGTGTAGTCCTTTGGTTACACCAAGTGAAAGGTATACCTGTAAAGCCCAGATCAGTAAGGCCACAGGCTTCAATTACGCCGATGAACTCAAAGCTCTTATTCATGTTGTAAGGCATTCCCCCAAGATTTTCCTCTACATTAGTGATAACATTGAAGTCTCCAATGGTACACCAAGGTATGTCTAGGCTAGCATACTGTAGTAGACTGTCCCACAAAGGTCTTCTCATATGTTCCTTACACTTAGCATAAATGAAGGACACCAGGAACCCCTCAGTCAGATCAGAGTGCTTGAAGTCTCTTGTGATATGTTGCTCACTATTTTCACGAAGATTACCCGTGATTGCATTAGACCAAAAAAGCCAAATTTTTCCATTAGAGTTACTAACTGCATGTTCCATTTGAAGATGGATTCTCACAGTGTTGAGTTGGGAGTTGTCTGCAAAGGGCTCAAGTACAGCAATCATGTCTAACTGGTGCATTTTCTTAAGTGTTTGTAGTCTCTCCATAGAACCTTGGGTATTGATACTCCTAGCATTCCAACAGAGGGCCTTAATCATCAAAAACCTTTGGATTTGGACCTTGTGATGGGCCTGCTAGCAGTGGCAGAGATACTGGTGGTAGCCTGCTGTTTGGTGTTTCTGTTTTGCTTCCTCCCTCTGGGAGACAAGCCTTGCTGCTCAGTGAGTTCCTGGACCTCTTCAGACCATTCAGTGTTAAAGGTTGAGCCAAATGCTTGAATTAGAAGATTGTTGGTTTCCTCCTCCTCTTCATCATATTCATCTATGGATTGATTATCAGGATCTAGCTCATCTTCTGAGTTCAGAGCTCCATAATCATCTTGTATGGGTCTCCCCTTCTTGACTTTGGTTTCTGTCTGTTTCTCTAGCTGCTGACCTTTTTCTGTTAACCCCTGTTCCAGATCACCTCTTTTTCCTTGCCTCTTTTTCATTGCATCTCTTTTCTTTTTACTCAGCTTTCCTCCTGATTTATTGTTGGTTCTGTCTCTCTGTTGTTCTGGTTCAGTAGTCATCTTTTTCCTTTCCTGAGTTGTATATTGATCAGCTTTCCTTTGCATGGAGATAGGGGTAGCAGGGGCTCTAGAGTCAATCCTATGGTCATAGGTCTCAACCTCATGCAGAACATGAGTCAATTCCCCCCCCCCTTTGGATACCCCTTCCTGCAAGTTAGTGTGTGTCTCCTGTACCCTCCCTTCCATACCTCCATCAGCTTCCTCAGCAGCATTAATATCAGTAGTATGCTGGGGATTAGGGGTTAGGATTAGAGAGTCAATACCTGGGGTGTTATGGCTTTCAGTGGTTACAACCTGCTTTCTTGGTGTGTTATTGTTAAGATTTATTATAGATGGATCCTTATCTGATCCTTGCATTGTCTGATGTCCTTGCCCTACTGTCCTGTTGCTGTTACCTTCCTCATCATTGTTTGTATCTTGAAGTTCCTGCATTTCGAGGTTAATATAGTTATTTTGATTAAGAATTATGGGGAGTATACCTGATGGTTGTGTCTCCTGCTGCTTGCTGTTCTTGGCTCCTTTTTTTGTGGTGAGACAGGTCTCCAGGCAGTCTTGGGATAAAATTGTTCCTGATTTTTGTTCTGCTTCTTTCGTTGGAACTGCCAGTGCTCTTCTTGATCACCAACTTCCTGCTCTTGGTGAATCTGGACCTGGGTAGTGATTTCTCCAAGTCTGCAGTCTTCTCTTTGCTCAGTTTGCTGTGGAGCCTGTGCAGCTGATTTACCATGGTCTTGTACCTGATTTTTATTGACTCCTTTCTCTTGTTCTCCCTTCGTCTTACTCTTCTTTTCAGCCTCCATTTCTTTCCTTCTTTGGAACTCCTCAGGGTTCAGGGTTCAGGGTTCAGGGTTCAGGGTT